CTCTGGCCACGCGTGTGTGTTACCTACACGTGTGTGTGTGTTACCTACACGTGTGTGTGTTACCTACACGGGGGTGTGTTATCTACACGCGTGTGTGTGTGGTACCTACACGCGGGTGTGTTACCTACACGCGTGTGTGTTACCTACACGTGTGTGTGTTACCTACACGCGTGTGTGTTACCTACACGCGTGTGTGTACCTCACGGGTGCTGTTTACACGGGGTGTGTTATCTACACGCGTGTGTGTTACCTACACACGTGTGTGTGTGTTACCTACACACGCGTGTGTGTTACCTACACGCGGGTGTGTTACCTACACGCGGGGTGTGTGGTACCTTACACGTGTGTGTTACCTACCGTGTGGTGTTACCTACACGTGTGTGTGTGACTACACGGGTGGGTTACCTATCACGCGGGTGTGTTACCTACAGCGCTGTGTGTTACCTTACCGGTGTGTTACCTCAGCGTGTTGTGTGTTACCTACACGTGTGGTGTGTTATAACGCGTAGCTACGCGTCGTGATGTGTTACCTACACGCGTGTGTGTTACCTACACGCGTGTGTGTTACCTACACACCGTGTGTTGTTACCAGCCTACACGTGGGTGTGTTACATACACGTGTGTGTGTTACCTAGTGTAGGTAAACCCCCCGTGAGGTAACACACACATGTGTAGGTACACACACGTGTAAGGTAACACACACGTGTAGGTGACAATCGATTTATCTATCCATGCATCCATCCATGCATCCATTCATCCATCCATCCATCCCATCCATCCCATCCCATTCCATCCCATTCCATATCCTATCCATCCCATCCCATCCCATCTCATCCAAACAGATGGACATGCCAATGCCATGCCATGCCATGCCATGCCATGCCATGCCATCATCTATTCCCATCCCATCCCATTCATCGCATGCGCAATCCCATCCCATGCCATGCCCATTGCCATCCATCCCAAACAGTAAAAAATAATAAGAAATCAAAGATCAAAGACATCTAATTGGTATGCACCGCCATCTATGATGAATAGAATTTTGTATGAATTTTTAACTTTTTATTTTATTTTTATTTTTTTCGGCAGGAACACTCCCCGGTTATAGGAAATCGCCCTCTAAAACATTGGCATCCAGATCGCTTGGGCGGTTTGGCCGCATAGGGGACATACATACATACATACATACATACATACGAACTGAAATATAGATTAGATACCTATACGCCTAGAGATACATTATCCTATATATGTAATATAATAATATAGTAAATAATCGGTGGTGTGAGACTAGTTAACTTACTAGATCGATAGGGCCGCATTGGAGTGACTCCAAGAGTCAACGTCCCATTGATGCCAGCAATGACTAACGAAGTCAGGCACACAGCAAGACCTCCATGTCAGCACTAATTCATGAGTTAAGGGTTCAGTTTAGGACCGCAGTATGCTCTTGCTTTGTCGCTGCTGGTTTCCGCATGCAAACATAGCAGTTTCTTGCCTTCTAGGAATATTCCGGAATATATCCGGAATATTCAGTTACGTCTATAGCATCGCCCATCTGTCCCGTATGTCGTGGCTGCATATGGCAGAAACGCACCGACCCGGCATCTGACCGCGTTTTCCAAATAAACATTGATCGGCCGAAAACCCCTTTTAGTGTGTGTGTGCGTGTGTTTGCTGTGCTGAGCACGTTTGGTCTCGCCGCGTCCGGGTGACGTGCACGTGCAAGACACAATTTCCACGAAATAGTATACTAGCTATTACCGTCCTACAGCGGTTCGAGTGGGGTCTGATTGAGGATTGGCGGTTTAACAGTCATTATACAATATTTGTTTAAAAAAAATTGTATCTAAATATATATAATATTTTTATATATCCTATCCTATCAGGGGTTGATAATTATGAAGGCCTGTAATTATAAATTATTATGATTGATTATGATATTATATCATTTTTAGGTCTTAACGATTGAAAGATCTGTCATTATGAACCCCCTGATCCTATCAACGCAGATTGTTCAAATCAGGATAGTTGCAAAACGGACACTTATTTCCTATTCCTGTATAGTGTTACAATATTTTGTAATTTTTATGACATGCGGCACTGTGTGATCATGTGTTATTGAGAAATGCTGGATTACAGAAATACCAGAATCAAGTAAGTCAGGTTTAGGAAAATTAGGAAGGTTGAAAGCATGAAAATCGACTTACTCCAAGCCGTCTTCGTCAACGAGACGGTGATCGCGTGTGATTCACGTACTGTGATTCGGACTGCGCATGCGGATTGGCGATCTTAAAAGTTGGTGGGGGGTTTCGATGAATGCCGAAGTTCTTCAGGCACATAACTTTTTAGAAAATTGCCTGAAAAGTCACTTTACGAGTCGGAAATCGCCGTTCTAACGGAGAGGAATGTATTCGGGACGTCGAGAAGGGCCCAGCTCGATTCGCGTGAGCACATGCGGCACGGTTTCGGAGGAGATACGGAAACGACACTTCGGCTCTTTCTACTATTTATTATAGACTAGCTATTACCCGTTTTCAGACGGGGTGAGTACGGTTTGATTTGAGGATGCGGTTTATCCATTTATCTCTCATTTTATTTGAGGATGTATTACAGTAAAGAAAATACGGATATTTAGACTCGAGTCATATTACCAATATTTGTTTAAAAAAATTGTATTCTAAATATATATAAAATCTGAATTTTACCTTAAAATGACACACCAATTTCAACTTATTTAGATCTTATATTTGAAAATAATCATTCTGGTTAGAAGCATCAATAATATGTCAAATTCTAAAAGAAAAAAAGAAGCAAAATGCATTGGTAATTTTGAAGATATATTTTCTTGAAAGTTAGTGGACGGCGGCGGGCAAGGTTACACCTCCCGTGTGTCAAATATTGCACACACGCGCGCACACACTACATCCACACACACGCGCGCGCACGCACGCACACACATACACGCACACACACACACACATCACACACACACACACACGCATACATACATACATACATACATAATACATACATACATACATACATACATACATACATACATACATACATACATACATACATACATACATACATACATACATACATACATACATACATACATAATACAACATACATACATACATACATACATACATACATACATACATAATACATACATACATACATACATACAACATAACATACTAAATACATACATACATACAACATACATACATACATACATACATACATACATACATTACATAATACACATACATACACATCATACATACATACATAATACATACATACATACATACATACATACATACATACATACACATACACGCACGCACGCACGCACACACACACATACATACACACACATACAACTGCAGCCGTCTCTCGTTGGGGTTTGTCTAATTTTCGCTCACAGCTGTGCGCGGCAGTGGGTAGCTGTTTATACACCGCAGCCGCAATGGCTTTGGTGTGTGCGTGTGTGCGCGTGCCGGTGTGCGTGCGTGCGTTCGTGCGTTCGTGCGTTCGTGCGTGCGTTTAGTGTGGCTTGCTATGCTAGGTGAAGGCTCCAGCTAATTAAATGATTATTATTATACCTTTAATCTACATTTAGTATAGCTATATTGTCATTAAAACCCGTGAGAAAACACATTAATACTTTAACACAATTTCAAAAGGTTATGGTGTCATAGTGTGGCATGTGTGTGCCTCTAACTTGGACAATCGAAACGCGTTTAGAAAATGTGAGAGATTGTAATTATGGGAGTATTGGGAGCGCGGGTAAGCGCGGGCACGGTTACACCTCCGTTGTCAAATATTTGACACACCGCGCGCACGCGCGCACCACCGTATTCACACACATACGGCGTGGCGGACAACTACATACCACATTTACACAAACACGTGCGCGCACACAACGCACACGACACACACACACACACACACACACACACACACACACACACACACACACACGCAAATTTTCGCCTCACAGCTGTGCGCGGCAGTGCTTGGTTGTTTATACACCGCCGCCGCAATGGCTTTGGTGCGTGCGTGTGTGCGCATGCGGATTTGGCAATCTTAAAAGTTGGTGCGGGTTTCCGATGAATGCCGAAGTTTCTTCGGGCACATACATTTTTAGAAAATTGCCTCCAAAAATCACTTTACGATGGAAAAATCGCGTTCTAACGTAGCGGAATGTATTCGCGACGCCCAGAATGGGCTCCAGCTCGATTCGCGCGGCACGGTTTCGGAGGAGATACGGAAAACGACACTTCGGCTCTTTCTACTATTATATAGTAGATACTATATTCGTGGAAATTTGCATCTTGCACGTGCACGAGCACCCCGGACGCGCGGACACAAACGTGCTCAGCCACAGCCAAACACACGCACACACACTCACGCACGCACATGCACGCACGGACATGCACCCCCACACGCGCGCGCACACACACCACGCGCACACACATACGCATGCACGCACGCACATGCATACACACACGCACGTGCACCCACACACGCACGCACGCACGCACGTACGTACGCATCTCGATTCGAGCGGCAGTATTGAAACTCAGCAGTACTGAAAGCTCTGACATGTGCGTGCGCGTGCGTGCGTGCGTACGTGCGTGCAGCAGCGGCCAAACCTTCTGAGTGTACGTTTGAGGCTATGGCGACTACGTACGTGGTATATATACTCATATTCTATGGTAACTAACTGCATGCTAATTAAGTTGCGCGCCATCGATATTCAGGCATCAAATTTGGCAATTTGCCTCTGACAGCAAGTAAGGCTGCTACTTGCTGTCAAAGGCTGTGCTCTCTGACAGCAAGTAGCAACACTTTGACAGCAAATATAGAAAACCGAACGCGTCGATTTTCTGTGAAAAATCACAAGTTATACGGCTAAAAGATAATGATATTGATTAACATATATACAATTATTTCTTTATTATGGTATCAAATATGAATAAAACCAAGATGGTACAATTAATATTAAAGCTTTTGTCAATTTAAAATATTTACATGTAATAAAATACAAAAAGTCCAGACACAGAGCAGCAGTGAGACACATTGTTAGATTATTTAATCTAACAAATGAAGACTATCTGTCATAGAAATATTGATTTAAATTGCACAGTAGTGGGGACTGACTCAGCAGCATACACAGGTTTCTGATTTAAATTGCACAGTAACTTAGTAATCGACAAAGATTGAAAACATATAAAGAATATATACAAAATACTAGTAGTAAAATCACACTGAACCGTGGTGATTATTACTATTCCGTGGGATAGGGTGACTGTTTGTACTTGTGTGTATATTTTGTGTATATAAGTATCCGATGCTCGGACGAATATCCACGATATATATGTCCTTTAAGGACGTGGACGCTATGACACGTGTATATAAGATAGCCGAGTCGGTTTAGAGTTAGAGTTAGTGTTAGTGTTAGGGTTAGGGATAGGTGTAGGGTGACTGTTTGTACTTGCGTGTATATTTGGAATATCCACGTCATTAAATTATACATCCGACGGCATTTAGGTACTAATTAGTGCTACAACGGCATTTACTTGCCACCGATACAGACTACTTCTGACGGCAAATCAATATGTTCCGGCGGCAAATACCTGATATTATTCTAATGACATAAGACTCCGTGGCTCGTAGCCCGACGCGCCCCTGAGTTGAAAGACAATTGACGTTATGCTTATTGCTAGAATCGCAGCTGGTTAAACGGTCGGATTGTACCGTCCGACGTGTGCCTTGTGACACAGTATATATAATAGTATATATTCTATATATATATTATGTATATATCTTATTGTGGGACGTAAATTAATCGAGATATCAAGATACCGAGAGGAGAGACAGAGACAGGGCAGAGCACGAGAGACAGCCAGGCGGGTTCTAATATGGACGTAACCTAGTATGTAGTATGCATGTATTTATTTTGTATGTGTCAAGTTACTAATAAAGTCACCATCGTTATATATCGTATCTAACAAGTCTCGCTCTACATTCTCTACAATAGATATCAACGTTAAAACCCCAAGTACAACACTCACATCGTTCATGGACTCCTTGTCGCTGGTCGTGTACTCATTGTAGTCATCCGCCGGTCGCCGCACCCGCTGACCCACCTCTTCTCTCCCCAATGGCAAGCCGTACGACGCTGGATAGGCCGACGCGACGCAGATGGCGACGGCGAGCGTGACGCTGACGCAGTACACCGCCTGTTCGTAAGTTGGCATGACGTGACGTGTGTGCTGGCGATCTTTCTTTCTTCACTCGGGCAAAAAAACGCGCTGAAAAAAGTTTGCTCGTGGAGTGAACGTTATCGTGTCCACCGACACCGCTAAAAACGCAGGCAATGAAGCTTCTCTCCTTCGGTTATCTCCGGCTCTCTAATGCCCGGCGGGTTGACGCGGCGGGTTGAAGCCCTACAGAGAAGATATCTGTCGTGTCCAATGTAGCGACGCACGATGAGCGCGGGGTTCTGACGACGAGGAGCGGAGGAAGGAGAAGGATGCGAAGTAGAAGAGAACGAATGCCTACCCGGGGTGATGCTGTGAGTCCAGCACGCGTCGCCGCATCATTTATATAAGCATGCCATTCGGCCGGCGGCGTGTGGGCCGCCGACCTGCACGCCGCTGCTGCTGCTGCTGCTGCTGCTTGTGCTGCTGCTGCTGCCAGGTACCGGGCCGAGGAGGAGGCGAGTCGTGTCAGCGACGTACGGAGCAAGTACGAGCGGCTAGTGAACCCCCCTTCTTCCTCTTCCTCCTCCTCCTCCTCCTCCTCATCCTCTCCTTCCCTCTCCCCCTTTCTCTGCGCCTATTCTAGCGGCGCGGCAGCGGCCGAGCGTTATCGCTGCAAGCAGAGAGATACGCGACGTAATCTTCTTATTTCCGATGCAGGTTATTTGTGAGGATAATTACGGTTCGCGTGTGATCCCCGTCTAGGCTCGGCGGTCGGCCCGCCGCACGCACACGCGCGCGCCTAACGCCGTAAACGCGTGGCCGACGCGCAGGCCGCTTATCAACGAGGCGCGCTGACGTCAGCCGCTCGCCCGCCGGAGAGAAACGTATTACCATTTGCGTATAATCAGAGAATAGACAACGAGCTTACGACAGGCACGATGCGGTGGCGATTTGCGGAACGAGTACAACGCACACGCACGCGCACGCACACACACACCCACACACGCGCACACACACGCACGCGCGTGCGCACATGCCACACACACACACACACACACACACACACACACACACACACACACACACACACACACAC